AGCCAATACCTTGAGTTTGATTCATCACTATTCACTAAAACAAGAGCTGTTAAAACACATAGATTTGTCTTGTTTACCCAAGTGCAAAGCCCCAGGTGAGGATGTAATTTTGGAGATGGACCGTATATATGACTCAGAGGAAACCCTCAGGAAAAGGCCAGTGTGCTGCTATAGCAACTGCTGATCACATTCATGTAGTAAGATGTAATGCTGGTGACCCATGGTGGCAATAAAGCTTTGCCTTTCCTTCACCTGATGCCTTGGCTGGAAAGGAGTGCTCTTCTCCTCGTGCAGGCTGCCCCAGCAGTACTGGTAGGCACCAGTCTTGTTTTTAAGTTGCTTACAGGAGTACAGAAAAGCTCTTTGGGAGGGGAACAAGTGTGTACAAGAGGTAAGAAGTCTTTACCCAAGACTTGGGTAGCTCTACCCAAGATTTCAAGGGTGGATCGGTGAGCCAGGCTGCTTACCACTTCACCGTGGAGCGGAGCAAGACGTGGGTAACACACTCCCTTGCAGTGCTGGGCAGGAGCCCCAGGGAGGAAAACCCTGCGTTGCCTGGCCCCGGGTTCTCCTCCGCCTGCGAGGGCAGCTCCACAGGTTCAGCCACACAAACCAAGCAGCCGGTTGGTGTTTCTCCTCAATACAGAAGGGAAAGCAGCATTTCCCCACGTTACCTTTGTGCATGGTGGTTGCTGGTGACCCCTCCGCCACATCTCTGCTCCTGTGCCGTTGTCTGTCCATCTTGCTTTTGCCATCATTTCTTAAGGAAGGACTCATATTGTGGCATTGTAGCTTGTAGGACTTAGAGGCAGAACCGAGTCCCTTTTTCTCCCCTAACACAGCGCTCCCATGGGAAACTGTCATGAGGGTCTGGGAGTGAGGGCTCCCCATACAGACCTCTGGTGTCCAGGAGCATCGCCTTGCTTCTGCCCAGGTTTGGACCCTGCTTGTGGGTGTCCAGTGACCCGGGCAGGCTGCAGTGCTGACCAGGGGTGCTTTTCCCTTTCCCACTCTTGAACCCCAGCTCCCCTCCACCCCTGCTAGCCTGCGCAGCACCCCTTGTTTGCCAACACATCTTTGTAACTTGGGTGTGAAACAGCTGAGTTTCACTTCGGAAACTTTGAACGATCTGAGGTACATGGTAGATAGAGCTGCTGCCGTCAGCTTCCAGAGTAAAGGGAATTAGCCATGCCCATCCCATCAACTTTTGTGAAATCTCAACTAAATTCCTGCATTTCTGTGTGGTTATCTTCTCCAGCTAATTTTGTCCTACACGATCCATCACGGCTTTGCCTTTGTTGCTTCCTTAATGGAAAAGTCTCCAGGTTCAGACAAATTCCCCATGCAGAGACAGAGGTACTTATTATTGTGCAAATTAACGTTATGTGTGCTGAGGATGTCTGCAAACTGCTTTCCACCAGAACTGCAGAGAATTTGGTTGATCTGTGTCACTTGAACGGAGTAAAAGAGAGTCTGTGCTAGAAATAAACACAGAAGAGCACTGAGAGCCATAATATAGCACTCTATGTAGGCAAAAAACGTCAGTAATGTAGGGAAGCAGCAACTTCAAGTTTTTTCTTCTTTGCTATGCGTACATGACTGCAAACTGTGTTTGCTCACTGGGTGTTCAAGGGGCTGTTTCCTTTTCTCTCCAACATTCGGCTTTGGGCCTGGAGACCCACCAGGTGGAACAGCCCATGAGTAAATAAAGGCTTTTGGAATGTGTTTTATTTAAATCTTAGTGTGGCTTGAGCCTCTCTTCCTCCCTAAACCTTTCCAGCCCTCATGAAGAAAGGGGAGTTGGGTGAAGCCCCTTCCTTAGACTTGGAAAAGCAGAAGCTTGCTGCTGGCCAGTGGCTACAGGATGACACGCTCCTGGGTCAAGCCTTAATGTGCCTTACCCTCTCTGCCCAAAGCCATTGTGAATGTGCTGTTTGGCTTACGTAGGGTAGGCTGGAAATCACAGCAAAATCACCCAGTCCTGTGATCTGGGCTTTGTGACATAAGTAGTCCAAAGTTATCTGCTGGTAAGGACCTGGGGTAATTTCTGCCATGGTAAACATATTTCCAGGGCCATCAAAGACTTTTGGGATTGCACAAATAAGTAGTTCAAGTCAAGCGTAGGTGTTGATCTTCAGCCTGTCCATCACGCTCATCTCTGCATCTTCTCCTTTCCAGTGCTTCCGTGTTTATGGCTTGTGATGTTTTTTATGGGAGTTTTCTCATCTTCTAGGTTGAAAAAAGCTGATAACAGGATGAGACTTTCAGGCTGCTTGCTTTCTTTCCCAGGACTGTTAGAGAGTAAATCCAAAATGACAGAGAAATAAGGTCAGGAAATAATGAAATGTGGCTTGAGAGAGAATATGCCACTTAACCAAGGCAGATACCTACCTTCCTCAGAAGATGAGCGCCGCGGCAGAGTGCCATTCAGACATATCCTGCAATTAAATATAATGCTGTGAGCGTGTTTCTGCACAACACTTGTCACGTAGTGACCACATCTGTGGTGGCCTCCTGCTTGGTTTTTATTTTTTACTGTTTGTGGCTGAGCTGTGGGGGTTTGTGCCTGGTACGCACGCAGGGGTGTTGCCCTCGGTGGCCAGCCATGTGGTGGTACCCAGCAGGACTGACTGATGCTCTGGGCATTCCCTGGGTCTTCTCCCTGGGGAGGTCACCCCTCTGCCCACCACAGGCAGAGCTGGCAGGAGCTCTGGGCCACTTGCTTTGCCATTCTGCCAGCTGAAGAGCCCATGCAGACCTTGGGCAGTCCTGGGCTCCTCCAGCCGCTTGTGAGCAGCACGTGAGGAGGAAGGTGAAGCAGAGCAACACCTCTGCTGGGTGGCTTTTAGCAACGGTGCACTCATCATCTTTTGCCTTCTTGGGGAAGCCTGCCAGTTCTGGTGATGTGTTACCACACCCACAACTGCCGCTTCTGCCAAATAATCCAGGATATTGCAAGTAAAACCACGTGCAGGGCACGCAGATAAGCTGAAGGCAAAGGTTGGTGCTTCAGAGGGCAGCGCTTAGTCTGGTGCATTCTGGGCTCCTCTTGATCTTTTAAGGAGGTTGCCTCATCTCTCATTACCGTACGTGTCTATACAATGTGTGTTTTTAAAAAACAGAAGGGTCAGAATTTAATCTGGAATGCCAGGAAGGAAGGTGGTGTGAGGATGCCTGGTATTTTTGCTTACCCATACCACCTCCAGCATTCAGCCTGTTTTTCACCATCAGAGGAGCCCTAGCACAGCCTTCATTTCAAAGATGACTCATTTCCCTTTCTGTAATTCTCTTACGTACTAGTGCTAATAATACTTCTACAAGTGGAAGTCATTATTATAGAGGACTGCTGATAAACTGGCTCATCCTACCGTGCCTCTCCGATGGTATCGCAAATGGTAGCCTCGGCGTTTTATGTTCTGTCAGAGAGAGTAATTTTGCTTTCAACCCCGGAATTTAATTAACTTCCAAAGATGTTCCTGCATCCATTTGGAAACGGGTGGCATTAACCAAATAAACCCACGCAGTGATTTCTTTAAGGCACTTGTTCCTTGAGCCTTTGTTTATGGTGAGCAGCCGGGGCGGGCTGTTTGCTGCCTGCCCTATGCCCCGTGTATCAGGGTGAAGAGGGAGCAGCAGGCGTGCCACTGGTGGTGCCGGTAAAGAGGCGGTGATGTGATTCATGTGATGAGGGATAAAGGATGCAAAGGCACCGGCAGACACTTTTCCAGGCTCTGGCACTGGCTGTAAACCCAGCACTCCCCACAGCATGCCCTCTGCTGTAGAGAGGGGGATGAAGGAACGTGACGTTTTGGCTTTTTCCTGGTTCTGATTTGTGCATCCTGAATCCTGACGTCTTTCTTTTAATGTTCTGGCATATGGCTAACACCAGCATGGGAAGGATGCTATTTTAAGACCCCTCCTTTGCTTGTGGAAGTGTGAGAAGCAGAACAGCGAGCTGTCTCCCACACCAACTGAGATTTCATGGCAGATGTCAGTTAACCTGCTATTTGTGTTTAGAAAAAAAAGAAAAAAAGAAAAGAGGTTTGCATTGTTTTGTAGACTTTGCTTTGCAATGTCTGGCTGCACTATCCAAAGGGAGGAGGGTGACAATAGAAAGCAAATCCACCCACCAGGGACAGCCCGGGTGATTTTTGTTCACATCCTTCTCACTGTGGATGCTGAGAGCATGTTGCCTCTGGGAGGAGGATGCTGAGGAGAAGAGGGTGTCAGCATGATGGGTGCCCTGGGCACTGCTGGGTGGGCTGCATCTTGGGGATGCTTCACAGCTTTGCCTCTTGCCTTTGTTTCCCATTGCTACTGCTTGCAGTGACCCCAGAATCCAACGTTTCCCCCCAAAATCGCTCATACTCGGTAGCTAATTAATGGAGTCCCTGCTTAAACCTCTGGCATCCCGAGCAGGGCGTAAAAGCCCTTTGTTGTTGGGGAGGCAGGCGGGAGAACTGGTACTTTATGTTGCTCGTCCAGTTTTGTCTCTGCTGCCTCCCCGAGGATGCCAAGGTTATTATTATTTAATAACCTGTGCGGTGGGTGGGAGCTGCGGGGGGCAGGAGAGCTGGGGAGAGCTGCGGCGTGGGGCTGGGAGGGATGCCGTGATTTGAAGGTGGTGGCAGAAAAATTCCTCTTGCAGCTCTTGGCTCTGCAGGAGAGGGGTTGTAAGGGACAGGGAGGAAACTTAAACTTCTCTAGCACGGGGCTGGAGCCAGCTGTCCGTCTCATGCCATCCTCTACCGGTGCATCTCCTCAGCAAACCCTCCTTTTGGTCCCACTTCTGATCAGATTACAACATGGTGCAATAAACCCACCACTTTCTCCACTAACTGGGATAATGGAAACCCCTTTAATAATTCAGGGGATAAATTCTGTGCCTGGGGTGGTGGATTTTGCAGGAAAAAGCGTAGAAATAGAGATTGTTCTATTGGGTGGGCTGAGTGGGGATTGCCCACGTTGACTGACAGCCCTGTGGCCTTTCCTCTCCCCAGATAGTGATGTACATAGGCCAGGTCTCCAAGGACATCCTGAAGTGGCCTCGGCCCCTCTCACCACCTGTCGTCAAGCTGGAGCTGAGGACGGACGCCGAGTATGGGATGCCTTCCACCCACGCCATGGCAGCCACTGCCATCTCCTTCTCCTTTCTCATTGCAACCATGAACCAGTACAAGGTAGGGGGTACAAAAAGAGGGGGAAAAAAAAAAAAGGAAAAAAGCATGTGTCTGCTTCCAGCAAGCTGCAGCAAACTAGCAAATCCAAAGCTGTTGCCATTTCCAAAAGAGTTCTGTATTTCTTTTCACAGATGTGTATTTTTCCCTGGTGTTGCTGGTAGCTGGCTGATAATAGACACAAGAAGAAATTTAGGGGGAATCTCTGTTTTTTACCACGAGGCCTGCTCAGAGCTGTCGGCAGCTGCCCTGCCCTGCCATGGTTTGGTGGCTTTGCTGTGTTTTTTGGGGTAGGGGTGGGTGGGGGGATGACCCTGGAGGCAGCCGTGGTGCTGCTGTGGGAGATGCTCTCCCTGTGCCTGCCAAGCCAAGGCTGCGCGTCGGGAACTGCTGGCTCCCAGGGAAACCAAAGGAGCTCTGTGTAGCCTGGCTTCTGTATGATGCAGGAAAAGCATCCTTGGAAACCCCCTGGCTCTGGCCTGAGTTAGACTAAGAGCACACAACATGATTTGAGAGCCTGCTTGTCAGAGAAGTAAGAGCGGTTTTACTGCACTGGAGCTGTAGGCTGCTTGGGGAGAGCTCATAATTATTTTCCCCAAACCTTCAGCCTTTTATCTTTCTAAAAGGTTTATTTCCTGGAAACTAATTTCTCCATGATGATTATTTTAGCTTCATGTTTCGTTTTATGAATCTAAATATGTATTTCCTGTACTCTAGCAATAATAACTTCCTGGCTGCATCATACTTAAGTGTGTTGCTCAGCCTCCTCGAGTGTATTTCAAAGATAAACCCGGGTAACCAAGACGGGTCACAGTAGGGTCGGAGGGTCTTACTGTCACAGGGTCCCTGGGTGTCCTCCCCACGGTGCCAGTGTGTGTGCAGGGACAAAAGGTGGCCACCCGTTTGATGAGTGGTGCTGTGTCCTGGGGGTGTAACCCATAGAAACTGAGATCTTGGAATTACACCTGGATCTCTGAGTTAATTGAGCTGCCAGACTCCTCCGATCCCAGCCATGAAGCAGTGGGCTTTGCTCCTGCCCTGAGCAGGTCAGTGGTGCCCATAGCTGCGGTGCCAGCCTCCTGCTCCCCCATAATGGTATGGTAACTGGTCGGAGCAGCTTGGCAGTGGGATGCAGAGGAGGAGCCACGGGATGGGACATTTGTCAGCCCTGGAGGGCTGGCTCTGTCCCATGTGTCAGATCTGCCAAAAAGACCTGGTCAGCAGCACTTTCTCCTCCTCCTTGATCCATAAGCTACCAGTGGGACACACAGCTCTTCACGGGCTGTCTCATACTTCTTGGAAATAGCTATGAAACAATAAAGCTGCTGGAAAATAATTAAATGATTTAATTGCCTCTATTAAGAAGGAAAAAATTCTACCAGTACATTATGCTGCTATCTTCTAAAGCTGCCCTAGTCATCAATTACTGACCTGGACGAGCTCCCAGCCTGCCTGCTGAGGGGGGAATAAAGTGGGCATAAATCCTCTGAAGGCTTAGAGAAGTGAGGAAAAAACAACGTTATATGAACTGGGAGTGACATCTGCAGCCGGGCCTGAGCTCTCTATTTTGGGGGCTAGAACACGCAGGGAAAAAAGGGTCAGAAGGGAGCTGTTATGCTTAACATTTTCACAGAAGCATTTCTGCGCTGCTCATCTCGGCAGCAGATGGAGTCTTTGTGTCAAATTGGGTGAATTAATTTCATTTACTATATTTTGGGTTGGTTTATTTTTTTCAGAAAAATGTCCTTTATAGACTGAAAAGAGCCCACCAGCCCACTTAGTTTCAGGGTCTGAATGAGTGGATTAAAGGCTAATATATTAAGCTTATTCTTTTCCAAAAGTGTGGAGTTTTTTTCCTTTTAAAATGTTGATTTATTTCAACGCTTCTTTCCATGTTCATAGGCAACTCAGAGAGAGAATTAAGCAAAAGCAGCTTCATAAGACGACAATTAAACCTTAAGTGTCACAGGGAAGAGTGATCCTGACTGCTCCAATGGCTGGACCGTGGTTTCAGCCCAGACATTGATTTTCCCCTCCCAGCCCACTGCTCGAGGACTATTGATCACGTTTCTGGTCAGGTTCTGTGGCTGTCTCCTTCCCCTCGGGTGATCTGAGGCTGCAGTTCAACCTGGGGCATCTCTTGCACAACATGCTGTGCCTTTCTTCCTTAAGGTCTTCAGCACTAACCTGGGTTTTGCAGGCGGATGTTGTGGGGAAAAACTGCAAATACTGTCAGTTTCCCCACGCAGAGACCAGACCTTCCCAGAAGTGGTCACACAGATAACGAAGCACCCTTCGGGCAGGATTGCACGGAGCTGATGTGAGATCTTCTCTTGGGTCATGTTCATCTCTTGGGGAAAGTAGAGCTCAGGAGCCACTTCCCAGTGCGAGCTCCTTACACCAGTCTGTCTGCTTGGCTGTTTTATTCCAGACATATGCTGATGTTAAAGTGGATAATGGTGTAATGTGTGTATTTTATATTTTTTTTCTCCCCCTTTTCACAGTATCCGTTCGAGCTAGGCCTGGCGGCAGCGTTTGTGTTTTCCATGCTGGTGTGTCTCAGCAGGCTCTACACGGGGATGCACACAGTCCTGGTAAGGATGCCCCATGTTGCCCCATGGCAGCCGTGCCCCCAGCTCCCCTTACCTGCAGCCATCCCCATCTCCCACTCTTCTGCCCTGGCCCTGCTGGAATAGAATCATAGAATCGTCTAGGTTGGAAGAGACCCTTGGGATCATCGAGTCCAACCATCTCCCCTACTCTACAAAGTCCTCCCCTACACCATGTCCCTTAGCACTGCATCTAAACGGCCCTTAAACACAGCCAGGGATGGTGACTCCACCACCTCCCTGGGCAGCCTGTTCCAATGCCCTATCACTCTTTTGGTGAAAAATTCTTTCCTAATGTTCAATCTAAACCTACCCTGTTGGAGCTTGAAGCCATTCCCTCTCGTTCTGTCACTAATTACCTGTGAGAAGAGACCAGCACCAACCTCTCTACAGTGTCCTCTCACGTAGTTGTAGAGAGTGATGAGGTCTCCCCTCAGCCTCCTCTTCCTCATACTAAACAGCCCCAACTCCCTCAGCCACTCCTCATACGATTTGTTTTCCAGCCCCCTCACCAGCTTCATTGCCCTCCTCTGCACTCGCTCCAGCACCTCGATATCTCTCTTGTATTGAGGTGCCCAAAACTGGACACAATACTCGAGGTGTGGCCTCCCCAGTGCTGAGTACAGGTGCACAATCACCTCCCTACTTCTGCTGGTCACACTATTTTTGATACAAGCCAGAATGCCATTGGCTTTCTTGGCCACCTGGGCACACTGCCGGCTCATAGTCAGCCATTTGTCAACTAGAACCCCCAGGTCTCTTTCTTACAGGCAGCTCTCCAGCCACACTTCCCCAAGCCTGGGCAATAGAGGAGTCACGCTGCTAAACTTCAGGCTGTACATTCACAGGCAGCTGCGAGGAACCCCTCAGGCTATGGCTATTTGAGTCTGCAGGGGAATTATTGATACCATCAGGGAAGCAGCGGTGCGTGGGCTGAGGAGCCGGGTGAGGTCAGTGTGGCATCTGAATCCTACTCCTCTGTTTTGAAATTTTAATTGCAAGGAACGCACTTGGGCAACTGACTTGGCTGCTCCTTAGCCAAGCCTTTTGTGCAATAGTATCACTGTTGTAAGCGAGAAACCCGGGAGTGTCAGGGAAGGAATAGCAGGTTGGTGAGTCACGAGTCACACCGTGACCAGCAGGGAGAGCGGAGAGGGGAAAATGTGACAAGTGAGCTGCCCTTGGGGGACTGGGGGGACAGCGAGACTCACGTTACCATACAGGGACATGGCACTTAAAAAAATATTATGACAAGCTTCTTGTTTTCCACTGGTAGGAAATTCATTCCTAAAGGATTGAAATGCATGAATACTTTGTCTGAAAATAATCATTAAGTATGGGTGACTTTATATGACAGACCCATCGGGCACAGTTGTTGAGAGATGTCAGCCCTGCTTTAAGAACAGATTTCAGCATGACTCTGATTAGCCAGTAGCTGGTTCCTTCCTGATGAGAGGAAATGTTAATGATTTGTTCATACAGAGGTCAGAGGGGTGGTCCAGCTTCCCAAGAATGGGTGAAAACTCCCGGCTACTTCCCCGCAGGAATTTGATACGCATTGCTTGTTGGTTGCTCATGCATAAATAGTTGCATTTTTTTACTAAGTAGTAATTATGTATGTTATAATAAGGAGGCTTGAATAATGTAAGAAAGGGAGCCCCTGTGAGATTAAGGTTATCTATAAAATATAGCTTGACCTACCCTTCCAGGCCTAGTGGATCAAAACAATATCTTAAATGGAGTCTGGAGACACCCTTTCTTGGCTATTGACCTTAAGTCAATCTGTAAAAATTCTTCACATACTTCCCTTGCTGGTCCATCGTAATGAAAGACTCCTCTAAATTTAGATGGATTTCAGGGTAAAGAAGAAAAAGCCTTTGTGCCCTTGACATGATAAAAAAGGGCCTTAAAATAAAAAAAAAATGCTCCTTAGTTGAAATTTGAGCAATGCTGCCTTTCAGAAGAGCCAACATACTTTGGTGGGGTCTCCATCTCATCCGTGCCACCGTGGGGATGGAGCTGGGGAAATGCCTGGTGATCACAGCTGCCCCAGTGCAACCCCTCTCTCTGCGGCCCCATCCTTCCCACCTGCAGGGACAGGTTCTGGTGTCCCACCTGCAGGGACAGGTTCTTCTTGGAGAGTTTGCTGCACTTTGAGGGATGGCTCCAGCCTGAGCTTCACGAGATGCCACGGGGCCGAGGTGCAGGGGCCGCTCAACCAAGCCACCAGCCAAAACAGCCTCTATCTAATGAATTCTTAACTGAGGTCTTAATAGAAAATGAATAGCGACAGGATATAATTATGTATTAAGCAATCATAATATTTTAGTAAGGCAAACGAACAGGTAAAATGTATCCATGGAATTAATGTAACTGAATTTTTCCCGCTGGAGGACCTAGAGAAGGGTGGCAGGGTGGTGGCACCATGCTTTGCTCCAGCTGTAGCCTCAGCTCTACAAATCAGCCTGTATTTCAGCATTGCAGATGTTGGTTTTGGATCAGGAGCAGTCTCAAAAAGCACAGTCATGTCAGTAGAAGAGATGTGACAATTACAGACCTTCTGGAAATGCACTGAGCCGGTATGAGAGCTGTCTGCATCATTATAGCCCTATCAGAATGAGTACCGTGATTAGGGGAAAGGCAATGAACACCCGATGCCTGGGCTGTTTCAGGAGAGCATTGCCCAGCCAGAGAAAGGGATGGAAGCACTTGCACTGCTGAGAGATAATTTAATTACAGCAACCCGCCTTCACCACCGTAACACGAGAATCCCCCATGTTTGTGGAGGAGCAGATGAAAGGCAGGGTTCTTCCTTCTAAGTCTTAAACAATGGAGTCTGAGGAGGCGGGGAAGAGGGAGAGTTACCTGGAAAGGGCAAAGGGAAAATTTGGACACATTTTGAAGCAGAGAACTTGTACCATTTTAGGGGTTATTTTTAAGGAACAAAAAGCAATTGGAGACACTAGGACTGGGGTTTACTGTTTTTTGTGGTTTCTTTTTTTCCCCCAGACAATTGTAGTTTAGAAAATATTCCTTAACTTCCCATCTTAAATCTTTGGCCCAATTTTTGCTCCCTGTCTCCGTGAGATTAACGAGTTTTTCTGCCTCACAGTTGCTAGAGCAAGTCTGAGCCATCTCCTGTTCAAAACAATGAGTGATAGTGTTCATGTGAGTGCACAGTGTTCTACAAAGATGCGAGCAAGACCATTGCAGATCATTTTGGGAAGAACTTCACCAGCCCAGGGTGGGCAGCCCCTCAGCAGGGGGAGGAGGGGAGGCTTTTACCCTTCTTCTAACCCTTCAGGGGCAGCCGTGGGAATTTCTTGATGCACCAAGCTGATGGGTTTGGCATTCCCTGTGGCAGCAGAGCGGGGTCTCCCCTGTCTCCAGCCAGTGGTGGGGCTTGGGGAGGCAGCCAGTCACTCCAGAGCCATGGCCAACCTTGTGACCGGCTTTACCGGTGCCGCAGCTTCCACCGGGGCTGTCCTGAGCTAGAGGCAGCAGTGCCCTGTGCCGGCTGGTGTGGGTGGTAGGGTACAGGGAGAAATCAAAACATCACTTTTTATGACCAAAAAGAAACCTGAAAGTTGTTTCTCTAAAATAAGTAAATTGTTTTGGTTTTTTAGTTTGGGTTTTTTTTTTTTCCCCTCTTAGATACGGATTCAGTGTTGATGCACTCACTGCTGATTACAGCACCCTCAGGAGAGGGTGCTCTCTAACCCCCAGCCAGCTCCTTTGTGGTGCTGGATCTGGGGTTTTTTAACACCACCATTAATCCTGAAATTTCCTTGAATATTTTAAAGCTGATAAGCAAGCAGTGATTGCCATCACTTTATGCACTGTGCTAGCACAGTCCTTGGGGGATGAAACAACAAACAACAAACCTGTAGGAGTGGAAGGCAAATAGGAGGTTTCTGGTGAAGAGAGTGAGTAGTGTGTGTGAGTGTGTGCAACTTCACTCGTCGTTTCAACGGGAAGAGCATGGAAGAGTCTTGCCTTCAGAAAGCCAGACCAATCGCTTTTGCAACCCTAAAAAGAAATTGTGCTTTAGGACCTTGTGAAATGAAAAACCCCAGCCCAGCAGTGGCTCCAGCACCCACGGACTGTGCTCCCTCGGTGATGGGCAGAAAGCGTTGGGCAACATCCCAGTCCTGCATCCCAGCCATCACGTGGAGCTGGAGGTCCACCTCCCTTGTTTCTCGGTCTGTACCTGGAGCACAGGAAAACAACTTGAAGGTCTTGCAGGGTTAGAAACCCGATACTGGCCCATTCTCTAGGCAGCAAAGCAAGGTGACAGCTCTCTAGCTAAAATCGATAGGAGAGAGGCCTCCCTGGTGTGGAACCCAGGGAGATGCTGGTGGCTGTGGGGGAGGCAGAGGGTGCTGTACGGGAGCAGGGCCAAGCTGTGTGGTGATGGGGGGCTTTCTTGGGAGGGATGAAGCCTGTGGGAGGACTTGTCTGTGCGGAGGGAGCTGGAGCATCTCAGCAGGGAAATGGGAGGTTATAAGCTTTGCCGGTAGCGCTGCACCTTGAGCAAAATTCGTGCCTGCCCTCATTTAAAAATTCCTTTATAATTGTGGGTTTGGCGAGAGGCTAATCTGTTTACACAGGCAGACGGGCAAGAATGTGCTTCCTGGGAGTGCTAACAGCAACTCCACCGCAGGGAAAAGCTGGGGTCCTGCTCCTGACTGCACAGTGGGGAGAGTCCAGAAAAGCAGCTTTTTCTCACAGAAATCAGACCTATCCCATCTTCTTCTTAGTTTAGCAGGTGAGGGGTCAGGGGTGGGTGAAAATGATAAATTCTGCTAAATGTTTTTGTGAAGTGTTGGTCTTAAAATCGCCCACCCCTTCTGGGCATTCAGGAAAATCAGACCTCTGCCCATGTGTACCAGGACCAAGGGGGGTCACTGCTGACGGCCACAGCTGGGGATGTCCCGTGCTCTCCAGCAGCTTCTAGGAAGGAGTCTCCAAAATGAGAAGCCCATATATTGGTGGATGGGGGGGGAAACCAGATTAAACCACTGGTCTCAAAACTTTTTTGATTGTGCACCCCTATCAGTAAAAATTTTTTGAGTATGCACCCCCAATGTATGTATATTTATTTATGAATTATATACATGTACTACTGCATTGATACATACATTATAAAACATACACAGAAACATATATTAAAAAAAAAAGAGATAAGGATGAAATAAGCACTACTTTAAAAGTATACATCTATATATCTTATTTTACTTATTAGTCTGCAGAAAGTATTTTCTTTCCACAGCCCAATGGGTTGCCTTGCACACCTGCTTTGAAGACCACTGGTATAAGCCACTGGTTGGGAGCAGAGTTATCTATCTCCTGCTTGAAAACCACATGAGTCATGTTACTGGGCTGAACAGGAGGATAATAAAATTCAGAAAACTTTAATCAGGTCCATAAATAGAGGATGCCTGCGCCCCAGCCGGGAACTGCGGGAGTCAGCTGGGTAAATCTGAGCAAAGCATTTGGTTAAATATCTTTAATTGGAACGGAAAAGCTCGTGAACAGCTTTTGAGGTTCACTCCTTAATCACACATGGGAGGGGGTATTGAGATGTCAGGACCTTTTCTTATAAGATGAGGTGGACAAATAATGGGGTGGGAAATGGAGGTACACAGTGGTGTGGGATTTCTGAGCATCAGTTTGGGAGCAACCCCCAGCTCTTTTGTGTTGAGGTGGTTACTTAGTGTTGAGCCAGAACATACCTTTATGTGTGAAGTTATCACCTAAAAATTGGTATCCGTCAAAAGACGGATTATTGTGCTGTTGTGAAATATTGGCACTTAATGGTGTTTTACATATTAGACATCTGTGAACAACTTGGTTATCCTTTTGTCGTGGATGAGAGAATAAATGTGGGTGGAGAACGGCTCTGGGAGTTGCTTAAAACAACTGTGCTGTGAATCTGTTGCCTGGAAGCTGTGAACAGCTAAAGTTCAGCCATACTGGAGTAATGCATTTACCAGAAAGTCATTAAATATTTCTGTTGGGAAAAAGTATCCTCATTCCCGCCTAACCATAAATGAAGTTCTCATAAATAATTCATTTTAGACTGTGACCAAGCATGGTAGTAGTCAACTCTCATGACTCAGTGAAAAAGATACAGTCCTGAGACGAGGACGGTTCTGCCTGTGATTAACTCTAGCTTTTGCAGGGCATTTCGTGGTCAGAATACAAATTCTGCCACTTCCTGAGCGATGCCAGGAGAGCGGCACAGGGAAACTTCTTCTATTGCTTTTTATCTGGCTGCTGTCATAAAGTTGCCTTTTGTTAGGGGTTACCTCTTGTCCTCCTTCCCAGCCTTGCGGTTGACAACAATCAAGTTCTTAAAACACCTTATTTACCTCTGTTAATAAATTAGGTTTTAACTATGTGCTTGCCTGGGGCGCTTGACTACAAGAGGGATTTCAGAGGCTTGGGCAACAAATTTCTCCTTGATGTATTCCTGCCCGGCGGTGCCTCCCTCTCCCTCTCCCGGCAGAAATCAGGGCACACACAGCACGGCCCGCAGCTCTGTGGCTTTTCTCCCCCGGAGCCTGTGTTTCTGGACTGGGAGCTTGTCTCTGACAAAAGGCAGCATCTTCCCACTTATGCAAAGCAAGGGAGCGATAATCCTACTGATATGGTGAAATTACCTGCAGGATTATGTATGAAGGCAGCTTGCCGTGGTATCGTCCCTGAGATGGAGTTGTGCCTGTGCCTTTTCCACTGAGGTTGTAGGTGGAGAGTGCCCTGAAAACATGAAAGCAGGTGAGGGGAAGAATCTCACTTGCTCAGGGGAAAATGTGAGTCAATAGGTGTGTTCACAAGGACAAGGTTGGGGTCACAGATTGTCACGTTTTGTTTAGTGCAGACTGCAAATTGTCCCTGTGCGAGAACAGTGCCGTCACTGTAAATTTGGGGTGTTCCTCTGCTGCTGCCCGCTCACAAGTGCATGTTGGTGTTTTACCATCACCTGAGAATTCGTTTTGCCTCCCAGGTTTCACAAAGCCCTTAAACGTGATGTCTTTGCAGGACGTGATTGGTGGAGCGCTGATTTCGGCTGTGCTGCTCGTGCTCTTGTACCCTGCGTGGGACACGATAGATCACTTGCTGTTAACCAGTCCCTTCTGCCCACTGCTTTCCATAGTCGTGCCTCTTGTCTTATGTTACAACTACCCCAAACTAGACTATTACAGCCCCACCAGGGGAGACACTACCACTATCTTAGGAGCAGGAGCTGGAGCAACTGTGGGATTTTGGTTAAACAACCAGTATGCCTCGCCAGCCTACACCGGCGAAAATTTTCAGCTTGGATTTCCTCCCGTCACCAGTAAATTAGTGGTGGTCGTGCTAGCCAGGTTCTTGGTAGGGATCTTTATTGTTCTACTGACACGGCGGCTGATGAAGAGCGTGGTCCTCAGCGTGCTGGGCTATCGGTACCAGTTTCCCCTCGGAGACCTGGCAGCCCGGAGAAGGCTGGAAGTGGAAGTGCCCTATAAGTTTGTAACGTACTCCTCGGTTGGCTTCTGTGCGACTGTGCTCGTGCCCCTGCTGCACGAGCTGTTAGGACTGATGTGAGCGCAGCGCCTGCCTCGCAGCCTCACGTGTGGCACCACCATTTCAGAGATGCGATGAGTCCATCAAGGCTGGTAACTTGACCAAAAAAAAGCGTTTTGTGCCTTTCTGCACTGGCCCAGAGTACCCGATACGGAAGAGTCACGGGAATCGCTGTACATGAATAACTTTGGGTTAGAAAGTGCTGACCCTGCTTTTCCCCATAATTAGTCCCTGGCCCAGAGGACTAAAGATGACAAGCCAAGAGTACAAAGCCAAAATCCCTGCTGGAGCGGCAGCAGCGGCCGGTTTGCTGTGGAGTCGGGGGTGCCGGGAAGCGTGGCTGTGCCTGTGGGACACCAGCCCTGGGGCTTCCTGGGCTGCAAAACCACCTGCCTGGCCACCGGCTTGCTCCTGCTGAAGTAGGAGAGCAAGCCAAGGGCAGGCTCCTGTTTGGGGCACGGGGGACCAAGCAGCTGGTGGGGTTGGGGAGGAAACGACCAGCCAAGAGCAAAGTGCTGTCCTTGGGGCGTGCAGAGCTCTGCCTGCGTCCCGCTGTCCCCTGGGGACCAGGGGTGAAGGAAGAGGGGCTGAAGATGGGAAGGTGATGTGGAGGTTCTTCGAGCGCTGGCACCTTCCCACTGCTGGGCTTTGGTAGGGGTGTCCTGCTGGCCAAGGTCAGCAGGTTTCTTCAGCAACCAGCATTGGCAGAGATCAGACAGCCACATTTGGGTATGGCTCAGTGTTTCCCTAAAGAAATCTGGTGATTATTGTACTTGTTGCTTGTCATAGTGTCTTCTGAAGGCACTGCCAGTTCTGTGTATATGGTTTTACCCATTGCAGTCCCTAAAAACACAAAAAACCAAAACCAAAACAAACAACCCAACAATAAAAAAAAAACAAAGAAGTGTAACAGAAGAAAGAAAAATCCAACAAAAACCGCTTTAAATATTTGTAACAAATTTATCTTGGGAATTAATAAGAAAGCCTCCACTAAAAGATCCTTTACCTACATAAAACTCAACAGAGCTGTTACCACAAAGTTGAGATTTGTGTTCAAAGTGTTTAACTCTGATTTAGCTTCCCTGTCTAGGGGATGGGACAAAGTCCTGCCTGTCCTGCAGGGGTGAGTAGTAGTGTCCTTAAATCGCGTTGTGGAAGGAGCTGAGTGGTGACTCTGGTGACTGCAGCGTGTGGCGTGATAAGATGCCATCGTTTTGTGGTGCTGCACAGCACTGCGGTTGGTCTTCCATGCATCTTGCAATACCATGTATACACTTGTAGAATAGAAGTTGAGGAGTGTTCATAGGAGGGTTGTTGCTATAACTCAGGCTGCTTATTTTAAAAAATACATGTCTCAGCTGTTGGACCAATGAGCTGTTGAGAAATACAGCAGTGACTGTGGTCTGCTTGGCTAGAAAAATGTAACACACCATGACCATGGAGCTTCAAGCATGGCCCCTGTGCCTTTCCCTGGCAGAATGTACAGTCAAAGCCAGCTTTTTAACTGTGTACACTTGTCTGCTTGGCTGCAAGAAAAAATAAGCTGAAGAATGTAAAGGAGGTGCTTTGCCATCAGTTGACCACTTGGATAAATATAATCAAGCTCCAAAAATGTCTCTGGGAGTTTTGTCTGAGGAGGGGGAGGAATGCACGTGAAAGAGCTGAGCCATTTTAAAACCAGGTCGGTGGTCTCCAGAAGAAATGCAAGCAGAGATTTTCACCATTTTGAGGTTTGCCCAGGCTGTGGATAAACTGTTTTAACTTAGGCTGCGTGGACTTTACATGTGCATGCAAACAGCTTCAACCGCTCTTTCAGCACGTGCCACCAAAGCCATGGGGGTCTGTCCTCCATCCCCCTCCTTCCCACACGCCACAGAAGTGCTGCCATCAGGCTTTAAAACACCTTTAAAATACTTTCTGTTAAAGTGCTTTATGAGGTACAGGGCAGAGCTGAAGCCCTGTGGAGGTGCCACAGGGAAATTGGGAAAATGGGACCAAAATTGGGAAAAAATTTGACAGCAAGCTGTGGGGTGGAACCAGTTAGTCCCAAGAAAGGCATGGTGTGACGAGGACATTCATGCAGTTTCATGTGTAAAATTTCTGTTCTGAATCACAGCTATTTTACGCTTATGAAGATTTTATAAATTATATATAAATGCTTGGATTTATAAAGTACATGCACAAATATTTTTACCTTTTATAGTATTCACCTGCATGTGACTCATGCAATACATGCAAACTGTACTTGGTTCAAATTTTAAAATATACATATTTTGCAAAATTTGGTGTTTCTCTCTTCATTCTGCATCCTCTGTTGCTGCTTGTAAATGATTGCTGCAAGGGGAACGAGTCACAGTTCAGAAATCTTCCCGAATGCAGCCACCCAATGCTCTTCCCCAGATGTCCCTCTTGTGGTCCCTTGTCCCCTGCTCGCCCCAGAGTTTAGCAGCAGCAGCACCCTGCTTTTTTTAAAACATTAAAAAAAAGACTAGTGATACACTCACAACTACCTGTCACATCCTTTTCAGGTGGAAATTTGTGAGTTGCTACGTTGTCAGTGATGGGGGACACCTGGGCACCTGGAATCTCCTTCACCTGCAATACCTACCTCTAATAGACTAAACAGTTAATTGGAAGCTAAATGTGATTTTAAATTGACATATGCAATTACAGCATGACAACCCATAAACCACAGAATATTTCATGTTCCTTGAGAAGCCTAACAAGGTTTTGCTATTGAGGATATGAATTTGAAAGCAGGTAGGGCCACGTTCTTCCCTCAGCATCATGTCCTGCTTGGAAGTGGTGTGTCCATGGGCCCTCAAGTGCCCACAGCTGATTGGGGTGAGCCCTGATTGCTGCAGCATCCTCTGGGCCACTGGGACCAGGCAAGGCTTTCAGCTGGGCTTTGTGCTGACGCTGTGCTTGTGGGATGCTCCCAGGACCACAGCTATTCCCAGAGGGTCAGGTGTGAAAAGGCAAGTCCTCTGACAAGGTAAGACACTTCAACCTTCCTGTATTTCATTAACCTGACGTACCAGGTCCTCATGCAAACCCCGTTGTGTCTTTGCTGCCTTTGGAAATGTTCCTCACCTCTTCATCTCCGCAGTTAAGGTTCCCCCACATCTCCAGTGTGATGGTAGAAAATGAGGTTTTGTGGCCGGTTTGCTGCTCCAGTTCTGTACTCAGGAGCATCAGCCTTGGATACTGGGCTGTTGACTTCTCCACAGTAGTCCTGTCCTGTACTTCCTGGTCCAGCCCTACAGCTCTCCATCCCATGGCCTTCTGCAGCTGGAGGGGTGCTGCCAAAGTGATCTTTCTCTAAATTTCCTTTGTTTTGCTGCCAAGAGGGATGTAGCAGACATCTCACCCTTAGCTCAGTCTACTCTGCCCTGCCTTCAGGCTGCCTCCTGCTGAGCTGCTCGCTCTGCAAACCCCTTCCTGGCTGCCTGGTGCCAAACCTGGATTCCTCCTGGCACAGAGCACCTCTGGGTGCTGGTCCCCCAGCACGGAACCATCTGCTCTGGCAGTGTCCAAATGTTGTTGCACCCCCTCCGCAGGGATTAAAAACCAAACCAGCGAGCACCCAGTTTGCCTGTTTGTATTTTCCAGCAGTAACTTTGTCATGACCCCAGTCTCCTAATCCATTCAAATTTCTATGTGAAACTGCACATCAGCCTGCAGGTTGCTTTTCTGGCTACAGGTGATTTAATTTAGGGGAGGAAAGAAAAGAAAACTGTCTCAGTTTCAGTGTTAACCCTTCAAATGCCTGCTGCCAGTAGAAGTTGGGGACCTCTGAGCAGGGTGGGCGTGCGGCTGAGCAGCTGGTGGGATCTGGCACGGGTGCCAAAACGTGCTTAAGCACCACCCTCGTGAGCTGCCACCCGGCTCCTGCCCCTGCCAGAGCAGGTCACCTCCTGCGCAGAGCCACGCTTGCCGCTCAGCCGGTGGCCACCGCCGTCCCGCTGTCCCCGCTGCCACCCTCGCCCTGGGCTCAGTTTCAAGGTCGCCGGGCGGTCAGAGGTGTCGTGTGTGCCCGTGGCCACCATCCCACCGGCAGCAACGTGGCTTTTGCTCGGTGTATTCCACACTCGCCTGCCAAATGGAGAATGATTTAAATTGCAAGCAAGGAGCAACCAGCCGGGGATGGAAAGAGTCCCAAGTGTTACCTTTACATAAACCCTCCCAGGGAGCAGCAAGGGACCTGCCAGCGCAGAGATCGGTGGCTGTGGCCGGGCTCTCAGGATTCCTGCTGTTCTGAAAAGCATCTTTGAAGCATCTCTGAAAAGCACCTAAGCACAGCGAGGACAGACCCAGAAGTCAGTCCTTGTGTGCAGCTGAAATGAACCCAGCAGTCACCCAGACAGCACATTAAAACGGGCTTTGCCCTCTCTGCCACCGGTTCTCCAGCCTTTTACGCTCATGCTCAGATCCCGAGAGATGACCTGGGACCCACAGCCAGCAGGAGCAGGCCAGACCTAATTCGTAAGTGGGGACCGCTAGTGAAAAATTCAAACTTCCATCTCTTCCTTAAAGAAGTACTCAAAGCTCAAACGATTGCCCAGAAGACCCCACCGTGGGCAGGCAATGTGTCCTCTGCCAGAGGCCGTGGCTGCAGCAAAGGGCAATGGCGAGCTGGCGGTGCTGAGGGCTCTCCCTGGCACCAGGCCCCGCGCTGGGTATCTCTGTTACTGAATGCAGCCATGGGCGAGCTGTAAATATCAGATAATTGGCTTGGGGCTATGAAAGACAATGCCCTGCCATAAATACACTGGGCTTGTACGGCGTGTCCCACTCACCAGGATTCCCAGCTAATCCCCAGCACAGCCCCACAGCCATGCTCCCATGTCAGAGCCACAGCAGCCCCGGGGAGGCTGCGGGCACCCCACGAGAGGGGCCGGTGGCTCTGCAGGGGCATTTTAACCTTTCTGCCAACCCTCTTTCTCTACTCTTAGCCAGGAATGCCACGTCCTCAGGACGGAGCTGGTGTCCCACTTGTGGAGCACTTAAATTCCCGATGCATGGGCAAATGGTGTGAAAAAGGAGCCGTGCTCCCTAAAAGCCTGGCAGCACATACCACTGCAGCTCAAACCCTCCGTCCCAGCCTAATCTCGTCTTTACACTCAAAGGACAGTAAATTCACAGGAGAATTGGGACACCCAAAGAGTCAGAAAATCTTGTGTAGAGAAATATATTTAGTGCACGCAAATATGCCTGTACTCTGCTGAAATGCAAATCTGCCTTATTGTCGCCTAATCCCCATGCATGACACACTAATAAACAGGGGGGGTTAATACTTACCATCTGCGTTACAGACTGCTTCCCACACTGAGAGCTTGCTTGGTTACAGTTGTGTAGGCATCACGGAGAGATATATCCTGCAAACGACAAGCTGGCTAATCCCCTGGGAGACTTTAAAATGTGAGCTGCAGTTTTCTCACTCTCTGTGGGCACTGGAGTCAGTCGTGCAACGTATGGCAATAGCTATATTCTCATTTCACGTCTGTCATGCAGAGATAATTAAAATCTACACTTCCATCTGAGGGGAACCGTAGGGTTTCCAGATGGGTAACTGTAGTGCATTTTTCATACTGGATTAACACTTGCACCAAAAAGCCTTGCCTGTTGCCCTCCCACCTGTTAAGATTACCGCCAGGGCTACCATTGAGAAGCCATGGTGGGTCCAGCGACAGGGGGCTGCGCAGACATGCAGCTCCTATCACTGAGAGCTTGCCCTCACCATCGCACATCTCTCTTCTCCAGCTCTGACACCCTTCTCCGGCACCACCCAGGTGTCCACCCTTGGAGGGTCCCCTCCTGGGATCCAGGACTATCTGGCTCTTGCAACGGAACAAGCGTTATTGGCCTAATGCAAAATACTCACTACGGTTAGCAGGCAACATCAGTGATTGCTGTAGTGTTGCAAATGAGGGAGAGCCAGCTTCATTAGCAATCCAGTGAAGAGCTTGCTTAAGTGCTGAGACTGAGCTGGCCACCCACTCGGTGACGCTACACCAGGAGGATGTCTTGGGCATTGCCAGCTGGGATGGAGGTTCTCCGTTTGCAAGAGCAGAGGCACAAGGTGCCAGGCTGCAGCACAACCGCTGCCTGGAATCCCCTCGAGGAAAAGCCTGACCCGTGAGAGGCTTTCATGGATTGTCAGGGGCAAGGCTGCAAGAGAAATAAAAACTATCTGAGAGCCCCGTGGTCCTTGCTGTGCAGCTGGGGTCCAGAAAGCCACTGGTGGAGCCAAGCGAGTGCAAGGACCACACTAACTTCTGCAGACAAATATGCCAGCCTCAGTCGGACAAAGACTTTGATATTTTTCAGCTCCTCATGCAAAAGACCACTGGCATATGCTCTGAAATGCATTTCCTCAATTTGGTTTGGAGCTTCAAAAACCACTAAGCTTACAGCGACCATGAAAAAATTTAATTCCACCCCCTCCCCTTTCTGAATTTAGAATGATAAAGGATCAACAGTTATGTCTGGAGTAGGGAAGCAGATATTACACACATCTTGCTTACAAAATAGCTCTGGTTTTCATGAAAGAAGTTTATTTTCCTCCCCCAGCCATCGATGAGCACATGACAACCGTACAGAATAAAAGCTCAACTCCTTAGTTCTGCTCACATTCACTCAACATTTGCTCTAATCAATTATCTTATTTCATGCAATAAGAAAAGAATGAGATTCCTGTTATGCAGCCATAATCAGTTACAGTATGAAGCTGTGTCTGTGGAACATTTCTGATTTTGAAAACTAATCATGTGCTCTGCCATTACATTTCTCTTGTAAAACGCTGGGCTTTTACCCAACTTCTTTCTTCCCCCTCAGCCCTTTAAAAATACTGAGGGCAGGCTCTAGTCCGAGCTGCCGCACTCTGACCCTACAGAAGCCAGCCAAACTGCACTGTAAGGAACATATTTACCCAGGGAGCCAGGAGCTGTTTTTCTAGTTTATTGGAATAGAAAAGCCCAAGCGGATGTACCCTGCAGAGAAAGACAAAAGAGCTGAGGGTGCTGCATGTGACAGCGGATGGTTGTAGGAGGATGAAAGTCCTGTCTTCATACGAAGGGCTCAATATTGATCTCCAGGGCAGAGCATGGCATGGTGAGCTCAAACTTGGTGATAACATCGGGGTGTAGGACTCCAAGTTTCCCAATGCTTTGACCTTTGGCAAAGATCTCAGCACAGCGACCAGGAAAGAAAGCAGAGCCTGTAAAGAAAGCGAGAGAAAAATCAATATTTCTCCGG